AACAACTTTAGACTGGATCGACATAGGAATCAAAATTGGCATGTAAATAACGATAAAAGGATTAAATTCCAAGATTAAAAAGTACGTACGCTGATATCACAACCAACTGAATGAGCTCCTTGTTGGCTCTTTGGCCGATCCAATACGAGCCCACCTGTTTCATAATCTGATCCATCACGACTACTTTTTCTAACTCTCTCTCAATCTCAATCAAGAAACAATTTTTTCTCTAGAAAGTTAAAGACAGAGAGAGAGACAGAGAGAAATTATTTCTTTGTGCGAATTTCCCTGAACTTATTACCTGAAAATTCTGCAGTCATTGAGGAACTCTGTTGTGGTTACTCAGACAGCTTGTATATTGGACCAATGATATGTCCACACGTGGCGGGAATCCTCCAGCTATTTTAGTCCTGGCCTCACATCTCCCACTAAATAGGCTTGATTAAAGATTTAATAATTTCAAAGACAGACCGTGACAGTTGATTAGGAGTGTAATTCTGTAGATTTTAGTGGTATTACGTGTTATTTATTTTAATTTTAGTGTAATTTAATTCTGTAAAAATTGTTTTAAAATTTTAGCTCGGAAGCCGAAATTAGATTATACCCCATATTCAAAAATTTTATTTAAAAAATTGAACTCGATAAGGAGATAATTTCTTCCTTATGAACTTTAACGAATGGAATGCAATTAAACTATCTTTTATAGAGATGGGCGTGTTCCTCGTTGAACAAAAATATTAATTTTAGTTAGTTTTTTTTTTAGTCCATCCTAACAGAAATTTCTGAATCCGTTTCTGAGGATAGAGATAAGGTCTCCTCACCTCAAGCTAATAAATTATCATACTGTTCTTGATATAGTTAAATAATTATGAAATACCCTTTGTATATATACCCACTTTTTCCGCACACCCAACACTAATTGCATTTTCCACCGCTCAAGTATCCCTCGCCCTGGCTCGCCTCGCTCAGTATCCTCAGCCCGGGCCTCGCCCATCTCTATCGATTTAATTATAGGTGCGAATGACAACTTCCAGCCAAGGTTTACGGTAATTACATTTTCCACCCTGAACTTTGAGAAAAGCAATTTCCCGCTCATCGTCAATTTCTGTCGATGGATTTTACCTGATAGGGTAAAGTTACGAAAAAATAATAATGCCTTTTATATTTGATTTTATAATTTTTAACGAGGTTGAATATTTCCCACCCAACTTTGAATCATGCATAAATTAACTTCATTATTCTGTAAGTAAAACAATTAAATAGGGTGACTATTGAGATACATGAAACTGAGGATTTGATTTGAAAGTATATACGAAATGTCCTTTCCTCCACCCAAAAGTACACAATATTTTGCCCATATATCTAACGTACGTAGAAATGAATGAATTAATATTAAAATACGAGAACGACATTTTCTCACCCAAGTAATGCTATAGTCATCGAAGTAGTACACCGAATTTATGTATCAAATGACGTGGTAAAATCTTGATCGTTGATTAATATTAAGTTAAAATTAATCAACGGTCAGGATTTTGTCACGTCATTCGGTGTACTATCGTCGGTGGCCATATTATTTTCCTTTCCTACTCAGGTTTGACGAAACGATGCTACCTACCGTCAAAGTTTCAAAATAACACTTTCTTTTGTTAATATTCGATTGAATTGGCAAAAATATCTTTAAAAAATTTATTTCTTAATTTATTTATTATAAATTAAAATTTAGTTAAATCAAAGTCTTTACTCGATTATTTATTAGTTCAAGTATAAAAATATATATTTTTTCTTTTGTTTATTTAATTAATTAAGAATATTGATATTCTATCTTAATTATTAAAAATGAAAAACATTATAAATTTAGTAGATTATTGAATAAAGTGATTAGATATTGATGATATTATAATTATTTAACTTTAAACAAGTCCATATCATTATTTTTAACTTCTTAGGTGGGCTAATACAGTTATTATTATTATTATTTTTTTAATATTTGATTTTTTAGCTAATTAAAAAATAATAAAAATTTATAAAGTCAAATATTTAAGAGTATTTTCGTCTTTTTAGTAAAATATTAACGAAAAATATAACCGAACTTAGAAAAGGGTGGGAAAATGACATTTTGGAACTTGAAATGTGGGAAAGTATCGCTTTCACAAACCTTGGGTGGGAAAATGTCGTTCTCCCTATTAAAATAAGAAATAATAATCATCATCAAACTCAACTCAGATTCACAGTCTCTAGTCATCGCCATAATTGATCACATGCTTGCATCACACTCTTTATGATTTACAGCCCACTTCTGATACGAGTTTCAGAGATCCAACAGACCATATCCCAGTCTTCGAAGTCCACTGTAATAACCTTTCTCTTTACCCAGAAAAAAATAAAATAAAAATACTTCTGTAAGCATGGAGTCCACAGGAGGATTAAAGAGCCATGCATAAATATGGCAGCTCGTCATCAAATTGCGTCTTCCACAGAAGGTTTGTTTTTTCTATTATTTATCGTGCATGCATTCTTGTGCTGATGGATACAATGCACTGGGTCTAAAAGTTCAAGCTGGCTTAACTTAAACTGAACTGAACTGCGTTTAGGTCAAGTTTAAAGTTTTGAGCATGAGATTCAGATCATCCCATCCCTTGATTGAATTTTGCAAGCATCATTTTTTATATGCTGCAACTAGTTCTATTATGTTCTTTTTGGGGTAATTAATTCGATTTGAAGATGTCCATTTCTTATAAGGTGAGAGTAGACCACACTCTCCCACAAGTTGATTATAGAAAATACAATTGAATCCATATCAAGCCAGCCAAAGGCATGCTGTGGGTACATCAAAGGATATACATAAATATTCATATTCATGTACTTAGAATTAATTTGAATATTACTATTGATAATACATTGAACTAGTCTTAATTTAAATGTCAAGAAGGAAGCCGGTGACATATATATATATATACATCAAAAATGGAAAAACAAGATAAATTACAAGAAGGTACAAGTTTTGATATAGGGATTAGGGAAATCATCATCATAATAATGGGTGATTATTATGATGATCAATTGTACTAATAATCACAGATAAAAATGGGTCCCAAACTGGCAATCGCCAGCTGAACTGTTCCTGAGAATCATGTGCTAAAGTCTCCCAACTTGTTCAATTTTACAGGATTACATGAAATATATAAATAACTAAAAAAAAATTCAAATGGGGTGTCCAGGTTTTTGCTCCAACTGCTGCTTAGACCAGATAAAAGCAAAGAATCACGTTAAAGCAGCCAAAGTAATAAACAATCAATATATATATATACAACTTGTTTTGGAGGGCATGAAAGAGTAAACGATTGCTTAATAAAATATGTAATGTTTGCAGACTGTAACTGGGTCAGCTTTTGATTGAATGAATGGTTTATCTTATCCTTCCGCATACAACTCTCTCCTCCAAGTTGAGAGAAAGAGAGAGACAGAGAGAGTTCCGTTTGTTCAGTATAAATTTGACAGAAGCTTCAGATAGCCATTTGCATTTACCAACTTGCTTCTTCATTGACTTAAGAGCCTTTAATTCATTGATTAAAATCTGGTTTATAATATTTAATATTCTGGTTTGAAGACATTTATATATATTACGAAAATCAATGTAAAAAATGCAGCGGTAAAGACAATTTAAAGCTATTCTAATAATTACTCCTGCTCCACCAACCGGAGGCAAGGTGAATCCTTTGTCAATTTGAATCAATCTGTGTGGTCATGGAAAATTCACTCAATTTTGGCCACTCATACTCATGTTCTTCCACCTGTTGCCAATTAATTAATTATCTTATATAGTAGCCTTCACTGTAATTATAAACCATATTTAATTCCAACAATTTTTTTATTTGTTATTTATTTATTTTTTTGGTGAAGGAAAGGAGATAGATTATACTAGTACTTGAGTAATTAGGAGTGAACCGAAAGTCAAGTTTTGAATTATGTATACAATAGTAAAATAGCCCAAAAAAAAGTTAAAGTCAACCAAAACTTAAGTTAAGTCATTGTTACGTAAACTTATAATATAAAAAAAAAAAAAAAAAAAAAAAAATTTCCTTAATATCAATTTGCTTTGATTTCATCTATTCATGGCTAACTCAAATGGTTATGACAAGTTAGAGATAGTGTCGATAGAGTATATAGTCTACGTTAGATTCTCTATCTCACGATTTAAGTAAAGGGTTGTGGTCTCCCCTCGAAAGTGGAGTTGCGCGTAAACTGTATGTGCACCCCATAATTTTCTTAATAAATTCCATTAAAAGTTTTAAACACAACTAAATGTCTAAATAAACTCCATCAATTTACAAAATAACTTTTACGTTTGTATTTTTACTACTCATGTTATACTTTCTCAATCATTATATATATATATATATATTCTTTTTTTTTTTTAAATCTCTATTTAATATATTAATCAAGCATATAAACAGTTACGCACATTGTCATATATGTTTTTTTTTTCTTTTAAAGAATAACAAACTTGTAAATTTTGTAAACGTGCATATCAATTGAAAGTTAGAAACAATAAATATGATAAAATAAACATGAATAGTTTAATGCATACTGACCAAACCCATTTCATCTTAATTATTTCAAAACAAAATTAGGGTTTATGAAGTAGAAAATGATATAAAATATTAGATGTCAATATTAGTTTTAAAAATGAAACTACCCCTCTAATGAAATATTAAAAGACAATATTTTAGTTTTAATTACCCCTTGTAAAGAGTACTTTTAGGAAGAAATTTTAAAGGAAATAAGAGATTTGTAGGAGGAAAGAATCATTGTATTAACATTGAATCAAAGTCAAGAGAATCAATTGATTTGATTGTATGAATATATGAAGCAATTAGTGGGCTAAAAAACAAAGATTTAGTAGGATAATCAAAGGGGGTAAATTAGTCATTAAGAAAAGGGTTAATATGGTAACTTGAATAGGAGCAACAAGGCCCTATTTTAATACACCCACATGAACTATCATAAAACCTTCCACCTCCAATCTCTTTCTTCCTCTATATATGTGATTACACACCCCCATGGATTCTTCTGTGTGACTTTCTGAAAGTGACTGACCCCAACTTCTCCTTCTCCTCCTTTCTCTCTCCCTTCGTACTTTTAAACCTCTTGATTCTTTATACGAACAAACATCAAATTATATACTCTTTCACAAACCCTGCAGACTTACTCAACTAAACCGAATGATCTCTCAAAAAATGCCTTCAAATCCTCCTAAATCCTCTATTTTACTCCAGAGAATCAACAACACGGCCACCACCACCGCCACCACAGCTAACAGACTTTGCCAGAAAGGCTTCCAAAAGCGCTTTCCTTTAACGTCTGCCACCCCCGTGCCCGACACCATCGCACGTTACCACGTCCACGCCGTGGGTCCCAACCAGTGCTGCTCCTCCGTCGTCCAGCTGATCGCTGCTCCTGTCTCCACCGTCTGGTCAGTGGTTCGCCGCTTCGATAACCCACAAGCTTACAAACACTTCGTCAAGAGCTGCCACGTCATCAACGGCGACGGCGACGTCGGTACTCTACGTGAGGTGCACGTCATCTCCGGACTCCCAGCCGCTAACAGCACCGAGCGTCTCGAGATCCTAGACGACGAGCGCCACGTCATCAGCTTCAGCGTGGTGGGCGGTGACCACAGACTCGCGAATTACAAGTCCGTTACAACGCTCCATCCTTCACCTGCCGGTAACGGAACGGTGGTGATCGAGTCGTACGTGGTGGACGTGCCACCGGGCAACACAAAAGAAGACACCTGCGTGTTCGTGGACACCATTGTACGTTGCAATCTCCAGTCACTCGCTCAGATCGCCGACAATCTAGCGAGACGCAACCTCAACAACAATACAGGTCATCGTCGTGAGTGAAAAGTTTAGTGAATTATCATCATCATCATCATTATTATTATTACAATACTTGATCTTAGTACTGTTTCCCCATCAATGTCTTTGGTAATACGCCGTCGTTTTTTTCTTTTTTCCTTTTTTTTGTGAGTAATATCCGATGACAGTTGCCAAAAACAATATCGTTGCCCCGTTCATCATCATGTTCCTCAATTTACCATTTTCGTGTATATTTATCTCTTTCCTCTCTGTGAAATATTAAATTAAAACCATTAAAACTTCCACTATTAGATTGTCGTCATTACCGCAGAGGATATGTGAGATTAGATATTATTATTATAATTGTTAATTAATTTTATAATGTAATATAAAATGGGATATAAGAGTAGGATAAAAGCAAGTTGTTTGGTTGACAGTGAGGCAGATGCAGATAGGTTAAGAGGTACGGTGGATGAAAAGAAAAGAGAAAGAGAAGAGAAGAGCTGTAATTGGACCAATGGAGGTGTTGCAATGTAAAGTCGTCGTCTCATGTGTGATATAAATCGAAGATAAGTTGGCATGTGAAAATTGAATTGAAATGGACCATCTTTGTGATCGTCCACTTCCAGTAGTTAAGGCGGCTGTTAGCGCCTACTTTTCTACAAACCAAATCGAAAATCACGTTTTCTCAACACAAAAGCTATAATAATAATAATAACTAACAGTTCAAAGATTCAAACTTTCATTGTATTTGGTAACATTTTATGTCAATTACTAAAAAACTATTTATAGAGCAGAAAGAGGAATGAAGGAATATGCACATGCCCGTCTTTAAAAACTCCCTTGTACCAAAACCAAAGTTTGAGATTGGTGTTAAGGTTAAAACTTATTGAGTCTTGAGCTCTCCTTAATGCTTATAGGTAATGGCGTCTAGAAAAATGGAGCGCACGTTAACAATGCTGCTGGGACTGGGACACAATATGAGTAGGGGTAAATTTTTTCTGTACATGCACTCGTTCGCTTCACATCACTTTCTATTGGACAGTGAAAACAATTTGAAGAAAAAAAGAAGTAAATTGTGAGAAAGAATGAAAATGGGAGATGGGTTTTTGCGTCGACTAATGCTACAAGCCTACACCCACAACCCTGAAGTGACAGTTCGAAATTAGTCAGTCTCTCATCGGAGTTGTGAGAGAAAATTGATGAGAAGTGATTATGGATGTAGAGAAACCTAGAAAAAATGGTTGGTTGGTGGTGTGCATGGGGAGAGAGACATGTTGCAATAAAAAAAAATATACTGAGGAATCAATCAACAACTAGCTGAGCTGCAGCCGCGTCTGCGTCTGCAACTTGGACTTTGATAAACACAAACAACATCCAACTAGCTGATAAAAAGAAGAGGCAAGTGGGAAATAAAAATAAGTGGAGGGTTTTTGTTTCTCTTTCTATCTGTCTGTCTTTGTGTTAAAAAAAAAAAAAAAAAGAAAAAAAAAGAAGAAAAAAGAAAGTGCAAGTTGCAGAGATTGTGTCTGGAAAGATTTTGAATGAATATGACGGTTGGTTATTTTGCAAGTTGATATGCAAGTGGGAGGATGAGGAAAGGAAAGAAGGGCCTTCTTTTAATGATATCCCGTGTGTTGTTGTGTATATACTTTTCAATGCCTTCACGCCAGTCCACCCATGAGTTTATGTTTTTTTTTTTTAATTCAATTCTATTTCTATTACTATACCACCGCGGCCATCAGCCATTCATTTTAAACCCGTCTTTGACTGTCCTCCTTTTTTTTCCTTTCATTTTTTTTAACCCGCCAAGTCAAGCATCTTCCAATCACCGACACAGTCCTTATTCCCTCTCTGGTCAATCAATCAATCTTATCCCTTCCCTTTGCTTTCGCTACACCCTAGGAAATAGAAATACTTGTAACTTCTCATCCTCCCCCTTTATTCACGACATGAAAAAAGCTTTTGATATGTCATCTATGTCTAATATCCTGAAATTTAAAGCAAACACAATGTATTTCACATTAAGGTATTTCATTAAACGTATTATATCCATGCATCCCAGAAGGATTCTCGAAGAAAATCAACAGAAAACAAAGTTTGGTTTAAAGATTCGTTAATGCAAAGTTAAAATAGACAAAGTAATTGAATATTTTATGTAAGCTACAGACAAAATGGGTGGACCACGCAGGGTCAGGGTGGCCTTTAAATGAAGGACGCTTCAGATTCCAGTTTCTCTCTTTTTATCCTGTTTCTGCAAATGGGGAAACATTACTGTTACAGAATATGGATGTTAATAGCTGAGTGCTTATTGGTTCGGTAGAATAAATAAAGTGGTGGGAGAAAGAACAAGTTGCCCCAGAATCTGGGATAACAAAGCGAAGCGACAGAAATTTAAAGAGAGATAGCAACCCGGGCCCTATAAACATATGGCTAGAAATTAAAAACTCTTGACCACCTTTTAAAACAGTATCGATAGGGCCGTATATACCCAGAATTGTAATTCTTATCTAACCCCCTCATTCATCGAACAGTATAAATTTACTTGTAGTTGGTGACCATCCTGTTCAAGATAATGAACACCAAAACTCTGGATCAGTTGTGATCTCTATGTCAACCACAAGCTCTCGTAATGGACAGGAGACATGAACAAGATAGGAAGCTAGCTAGCTAGCTAGCTTGCTTTATATAGTAACTGGGAAAATGATGCGACATAATGCAAAGAAATCCAACACATGAAATCAATTAGATATTCAAGTTGTGGCCGAAAAAAGAAAATGACCTTTTCTGGGTAACCAATCAGTTCAAATTTACTCCCCTCAAACTAATTTACGGTAAAATGTCGCCATCCATCATTTGGTAAATTGCAGACAAGATGAACTTTGAACTATTAGATTAATTGAATGTTCAAGTTAATTGTCAAAAAGAATGGGCCAAAAGAAGACCAAATAAAATGAAATCTCAATGCTCATCTGCTAGAGTTTTGGTCAGATGGATTTTCGAAGCAGTTTCAAGTAGGGGACCACTGGATAATTCGCATCTCTTTGTGTTCACAAAAAGGATAAACCACTTGATGAAAAAGCACTACTTAATAGTTTTATAAATCTAAAGTGACTGTTAATTATGTGGTCAACGTGGAATAATATTAATCTCTTCTAAAGAAATATTGTAGAAGACGACATGATTTTTTTAAGGCTGAATTAATTAATTGGTTGAGAAAACTTAGATGTATACATAAACTTGTATTCAAGAATGTTTAATGCTGACCATCACAAAGAACCTTCGTCAATTCAAAACCCAGAAAAAAAGCAAAAGAATAAATGGAATTGATGAATGAGAGGAAGAAGACGACTGGCCACAGAGAGAGAGAGAGAGAGAGAGAGAGAGAGAGAGAAGTTTGAAATAGTTGAAGTATCTTGAGGGCAACGAATATGGATGTTGAGATGTCAACAACTTTAACCTAATCTGTATATATTTATTTGTAAACAGACCATAACCAGCTCATGAGGTATAACCGAACGATTGATAAATATATAGCTAGCAGCTGGGTTCTTTCTTAAATCTCTAGCATGCCCTCAGGACCCCAATTTTTATACTATAATTCCCAGAAGAGGAAATCCGTAATACATAGGATCAATGAGAGGTCTGCCATACACGGTATACACTCTTATAAACAACTTCTTGTAACTTGGCTTAATTCCAAATCCTCATTGAATTCTCTATTTCAGTATCATAGTATTAGTTAGGTTATTGATCGGGACTTGAATCTTTTATTAAGCTATCTTTTCTGGAGAATCTTAGAGCAGAAATACACATATACGTTTTAAAGAAGCTCTTATGGGAGTGATCATCAGTCATTCACAAGAATTTATGTCCTCCTCCGACGTAAATGTTACTTTGTTACAATGTCAATTTGTGTCATTGTACTTTTACTTTTACCACGCAACAAAACAAAACGTCGTGAAATCGTTGAAAAACGATTGTTGTAACGATGCTGTCCCGACCCAAAGTGCAGCGTCATGAAATGTTGTATTCCAATGGTGACTGTACTGAGGCTTGAGCATATGTATATTTTAGTGTGCCATTGAAGCCATCTCGATCAATTGGCTAAGAAAACAAATATCTGTAAAAGGGTATTTTGGTAAAACAAATCACAAATCCAAACGACAAGTTGTCATCTATAGCTTTCAATAAACTACCAAAAGTATACTTCCACTACTCCTAATCCATGAAAATGAAATCATGAATAATGATAACCAACCACCTCTTGAAACTTCAAAAACGAGGCAGCAGAGCACACAACCTCACGCACTGAGAAAAAGAGAGAGTTTATTGAACAACAATGGCTAAGAAACTACTACAACAACAACAACAACTAGTTGCAGCAGGAGCATGGGGATCAATCAGAAGCAGTTTTCATTCATTTATTGCCCTGTTTGTTGCCTTCTTATTCATAGCTTTGGTTTTTCTAAGCCAAAACAACATGCAGTTCATGATAGAAGATAGGATAAGTTCAAGTAAAAATCTTGACTTGTTGTCAAATAAGTGTAATTTGTTTTCAGGCAAATGGGTGTTTGACAACAAATCGTACCCCTTATACAAAGAGAAGGAGTGCACTTTCATGTCAGATCAGTTGGCTTGTGGGAAATTTGGAAGGAAGGACCTGAGCTACCAGTTTTGGAGGTGGCAACCTCACCAATGTGACCTCCCCAGGTCTCTCTCTTTTAATTTTCTCTAACATTTTTTCTAAACAATATAAGAGAAGTTTTGCATTAATATATATATCTATACAGAAATGACGATGTTAAGGTTGTGTTTTCGCAGTGTTTTTGAGTTTGGTGGACTGTTCTCTTGTGTATGTTAATAAGCTAGGTTCAATGCCACAGCATTGCTGGAGAGGCTGAGAAACAAGAGGCTTGTATTTGTTGGAGACTCTTTAAATAGAGGGCAATGGGTATCAATGGTCTGCCTGATTGACACATCAATTCCTGATCCTTCTCTCAAATCCATGCACTACAATGGCTCATTGATCACCTTCAAGGCCATTGTAAGTTTTTATTTATTTGATTATTGCTACTCTTTGTTTCCTGTAAATTAGCTTGCATGCATGTTAATTTTGTTTCGATTTTGTAGAAATACAATGCGTCAATAGAGTTTTACTGGGCTCCATTGCTGGTGGAATCAAACTCTGATGATTCTGTGAACCACCGGTTACCGGATCGGATAGTTAGAGTTCAGGCCATTGAAAAGCATGCGAGACATTGGAGTGATGCAGACGTTTTAGTTTTCAATTCCTACCTTTGGTGGAGAAGATCCAAAATGGAAGTCTTGTCAGTACATTAAAAACATACAATTTCTTTAACTTCTTAAATCTGCAATTGACGTTTGAGATTGTTCAGTTAACAATTAATTTATTTTAATTGTGGCAACAAAATTAGGTGGGGATCATTCGAAAGCTCTGATGGTATTCACAAAGAAGTGGCAATGCCTCGTGTTTATGAGATGGCCTTAAGAACTTGGTCAGATTGGTTAGAAGTTCACATCAATCGAGCCAAGACCCAATTGTTCTTTGTTAGCATGTCACCAACTCACCAAAGGTATATTTATATGTATATATAATAACCTTAATAATTCCCAAAAACATAAACGATGTTTATATTTTGTTTACTACCCACAATACACTTTTCGATTCGGCAGCCAATGGAGAGAAAACTTTATCTTAGCTATTGAAGTTTTTAAAGAGGGGATTTCGGTAAGTCTTTTGGTGGTAGCAGTTTAGATTTTGATAGTTGTGATTGGTTGGAATTTGACTTAAGAGGGGTAGCTATATATTTCACAAATTGCTCGATTGTCAACGATTGACGAGATTGACAGAAGTAAGGTTTGAGGGGTTTTGATGAGTGATGATCGGGGAAAAGAATGGTGATGATATGGGGTCGTAAACGTATCGGAATCAGTCGACGATTGGTCAGAATATAAACTTTTGATGGGAAAATGGTATTTTGAAACATTTTGGGTGGAAAAGTATCATTAAGGCAAACCTTGGATGGGAAAAAGTCGTTTACTCTAGTTAGTATATATTTTAAGCTATCGTGTCAACAACTTATATACCAAATCATTCTGTTTAAAAATTAAAAAATAACCACAGAGTGCTCATGTTTCATGTAGTGTTTAAATATTCTGAATGTATATAATATTTGCAGTGCTGAAGAATGGGGTGGAGCCGAAGATGGAAATTGTTACAGTGAGACAGAACCAGTAATGAAAGAGGGATATTCAGGAGGAGACACAGGGTCAGAAATAATGCCGTTAGTTAAATCAGTGCTAGATGGTCTAAACAGAAGAGGGTTAAATGTACAATTACTCAATATTACACAGCTTTCAGAGTACAGAAAAGAGGGACATCCATCGGTTTACAGGAAGCAATGGGAACCTTTAACTGAAAATCAAATATCGAATCCAAGTAGTTATGCAGATTGCATACATTGGTGTCTTCCTGGAGTACCCGATGTGTGGAATGAGTTACTTTATGCTTACCTTGTTCGTGAGTAAAAGTTGGGGATACAAATAAAAAGTCACTGAGATTTGAATCTGTAAATGTTTGATTCAAATCTGGAAGTGATTTGATGTAGATGAAAATGTAACAAAATTTAAGAAATAGACCCCTCAACAAGATACAAGGGTTTTTAAGAAAAAAGAACAAAAGATTGAAGCTTGCCATTATCATTTATACATTTATATGGCTGCACCAATTTTCAAGACAAAAAATTACCTAACATATGTAAATGTAATGGAGAGAGTTTTCTTCAGTAAAATACAGAAACAAAAATAAAATGGTCAAGAGGACCAGGACCTGCATCTCCACTCAAATAAATATGATTAGTCAAAATAGCTAATAATCCAGCTAAGAATGATCTTTACACGAGTAATTAATTACGACCATATTATTATAATAATGATTTAACCCAGCTGGTGCATTTAGTGGTCGAGCTTTATTACAAGCAGCTACAAACGGAATCGAAAAAGGTTTAGTAGCGTGTTCAAACGCCAATTTGCGGCAAATCTGGTGGCTATTTTCTGTATTTATCACGATGCAAAGATGGAACAGAAAGAAAACCCACTTTCCTTTGCTTGCACTTGCCTTACTTGTCTTTATTGTTTGTTCTATCCTCTACAATGAACGTAGCATTCAACAAATCCATGAAGACTCAGATCATGTTCATCATGATCAAGAAGTTCCAATCAAATATGTACAGCCTAATCTTGTAAACGGAGCTGCAGGTATGGTAATCTTTCAGTTAAATTTCACAAGGGTTCATCTTTGTTTCTTGAATCTTATTTGATTTTGTCAGCTTTCATGTGATGAATATTTTTGTTTTAATTTTTAATTTTTGGGGATTTTAGAGGTTTTGGATAGATTTAGTAAATGCAACTCTACCAAGAAGTTCAGTGGCTGGAAAATCGGGTGGGGTGACCAGAGACTTCAATCGGGTGGGAGGAGAGTGAGCGCAGATTCAGAGAGTTGTGATGTGTTTTCAGGGAAATGGGTATTTGATAACACATCTTATCCACTGTACAATGAGTCTCAATGTCCTTACATGTCAGACCAATTGGCATGTCACAAGCATGGACGGTCAGATTTGCGGTACCAGTACTGGAGATGGCAACCTCATGACTGCAATTTGAAGAGGTAAAAAAATATATAAACGAATTTTCTTCAAAACTTAGTTGGCTGTGTAGGTTTTGGAAATTGAGATTAAGTTGGAATAAGATGAACCGCTGCAGCCCTTCTAATACAATGTGGAAAATTGGCCTATAAATGCGTTTATTGTGGAGAATCATGTGAAGAGACTTGTTTTAATTGTATGTTTGTTTGTTTGTTTAATATCATGTGTATAGATGGAATGCAACTGAGATGTGGGAAAAGTTGAGAGGAAAGAGGCTAATGTTTGTGGGGGATTCATTAAACAGAGGGCAGTGGATATCAATGTTGTGTTTACTACAGTCAGTGATTCCAGCCGATAAGAGATCCATTACGCCAAATGCAGAGCTTACCATCTTTAGAGCAGAGGTAAACCGAATCGTTTCTTAGAGTGCGAATTGTATTGTCCATGCTGATAAACATGTCATCACATAACCTGGGGAAATGTTGTTGAAGTTTTGTTTGCATCATGTTCTTTATAGAACATTATTAGTTGATGATAAGACTGGGAAATCTCTGTTAATTCTGTTGTTTGTGTTTGTTCCATCCACAGGAGTACAATGCGACTCTGGAATTTCTGTGGGCACCACTCCTTGTAGATTCTAATTCTGATGATCCAGTAAATCACAGGTTGGATGAGCGGATAATGCGTCCAGATTCTGTTCTCAAGCATTCGTCACGGTGGGAGCATGCTGATATACTAATTTTCAACTCATATTTGTGGTGGAGACAAGGACCAGTTAAGCTTTTGTGAGTATTATGCCATCCAGGTAGGAGAAATGGGTTATTTAGAGAATTGTGTATAGCTATAACAAGAACTACAATTTTCACAGATGGACTAGTGAAGAAACTGGAGCTTGTGAAGAATTAGATGGGCTTGGGGCCATGGAGTTGGCCATGAATGCCTGGGCAGACTGGGTATCTAAAGCCAATCTCAGGAAGAAGCGGGTCTTTTTCGTTACCATGTCCCCAACACATCTTTGGTGAGTGTCAAATACATACCTTGAAATATTCCCCTTAAATCATCAGTAAGATTTGCAGATTTCTTCCATGACTCTGAAACATATGGTCAATTGGGGATATGAATTAGGTTAGTGGCCTGAAACGGGAATTTTTATGTTGATCGTGGAGTATAAATTGATTATAATATATAAATTAGGTTAGTCAGTGAATGATTAGAATCATATGGCCAATAACCTTGGTCATCAAATACCAGGAATTTCTTTTTTTTTTTAAAATCAAAACTGATGCATACTTTGCATCTACCATATTTCAGATTCTAATAATGCTCTCCTGCTTACTCTATGCTTATCATTAGTTTTAGGCATCAACCTGGGAAGCACCACCTATTCAATTAGGGTGCTTTTAGTTTGCATTTCATTTTGTTTGAGTCTTTCTTTAAGACAAAATTCCGATCGTGATGTTCCTATTACATGGTAACAGAGTCCATAATTTATCTTCAAATTCTTGAGAGGTTACAAGGGTTTGACCAATGCATGTATATGCTTCTTGGTAGATGTTATAAGAACGATAAATTACTTATCTGGTAGTTTCACGTCATTTGAACAAAGGACAGTGATTATGCAGTTAAAACCTCTTCTTTTTTTTTTTTTTTTACTATAAGAAACCAAGAAATATGCGCAGCTAGAATCTGTCACTTCTCCGCTCATGATTGATTAGCTTCTAGCATGCTAAACCAGTGGATGCTTCCCTTAGTTGATTGTTTTCTGTGATCTTTATCATATTTCAGGAGTCGAGAGTGGGCAACGGGAAGTGAAGGAAACTGCTATAATGAGAAAACCCCAATAGATAAAGAAGACTACTGGGGAAGCGGTTCGGACCTGCCTACAATGCGCATGGTGGAAGAGGTTCTTGGCAGGTTGAGTTCAAAGGTTACGGTTCTTAATATTACTCAGCTCTCAGAGTATCGAAAAGATGGTCACCCTTCCATCTATCGAAAATTCTGGGAAACATTGAGCCCTAAACAATTGTCAAATCCATCATCTTACTCCGATTGCATACATTGGTGCTTGCCTGGTGTACCAGACGTATGGAATGAATTATTATTCCATTTTTTGTAAAAATCACTACATACGTTCAATTTTTTCTTTGTTCCTTGATATAGCAAATGTGAAAGGATAGTGCAAGTATTTTGTCAACCCAATCTATTTAAGTTTCAGATAGTTCACTCACTAGTTTGGTGATTTGCCAATAGCAACCTGGCAAACGGGTGGACCGGATGGGTCCAGATTGGGTCAAAACGCGTACAGGTAAATCGGATACGTGTATCTAAAGTCTAAACCGGATACGTGTATCTAAAGTCTAAACGGATAATAAAATATAAACTCATACCTGGCCTTGGGATACGGGTGGACCTGCTGGTCACCATTTTTTAATAGCAGAAATAGATTAGTAGAGCATACAGATTACAGATGCAGCAATCATATTCCCATTGAAACAATCAGAGCCAATCATTCCTGCCACCCAGTTTTAGAGTCCTCAAGGTGCTTAGTTCCAGAATTTTTTACCCATATCCAAAAGCTTGACAAACTAATAACTCATACCTTTCCAAGTACTACCTGAAGAAGCACTATTGCTAAAGAATGGGTGAAATTTAAAAATAATAAAGGAACAAAAGAAATCTGGAAATCACTTTAGAAGCTCTTTGGCTGTGGACACAAACTCAAAAGTCTACTTTATAGAATTTCAAAATCTAGAGATCCTGTATATACATCACACAATCAAATAGTTATAACAGAAGCGACATTCTTTTTTTCCATTCTCCTGCAGTCAAGAAAGTTTCCCAATTAAAAGTATCAAGTAGAAAACAGAATATGAACATTCTGAGATCTAAAAAAAAAATTCTGATACAACTATGACCACATGCCTTCATCCAGTAATTCAGTCCTAGTAATACTGTAGACCAATGAAGAGAGAGCCTAGCCATATGGTCATATAAATTTGAACATGACTTCCCATTAAGCCAACACCAGCAGCAGCATCTACTAAGCAAGCTATAAAAGACAATATGATCAAGTGAAAATAAAGGAAAATGATTACATCAATTTTCAACACATAAATATACATTGAAATGAGACAGGATGTCGCAGACATTCTACAAATTTCATTTCTTCCAAACCCATGCCCAGATCATCCGTCACTCAAGACCTGACCAAAACAATTTAGTCATTAATCAACCAAAAATTAAATGAACCAAAAAGTAAAACTTCTACAAGAGGCACAATTGCGTTACCAAAATAACGCAAGAATAGCAAGTATATTATTGGATTACTTCATTACACAACATCGTTGCTAGTGGATTCCATTGATTCTGTAGTCCCCGACTTGGTTAATGGCACAAGAAGGAAATCATCATCCATTTCATCATCTACAATTAATAATTATAAATATTTAATATCTTATGGCATTAACTATCTTACTATATTAACAAACGAAAATAATAAAACATTTGAAATATTATATTAACATATTACCATTAATTTCATATCCACACAGCCAATTCCGAGTGCATATCAAAGATTCTGCATTATTTGGTCGAAGTTTGTTTCGATATTTATTGAGCACTTTGTTGCCATTACTAAAATTGGACTGCGAAGAAACGGTTGTTATTGGTATACTCATGATATCACGAGCCATCATGGCAAGTATCGGATAACGATCACAATTGTTCTTCCAATGGTTGAGAATATCCATATTGTGATGTTTGATGTGATCAAATCTTGGCTCTTCCAAATAACGATCCAATTCAGACTTTTTAGTAGCACTAAAATCACTCTTGTAGTTGTCAAATTCCTACACCATTTATACATTGAAATTTTAAAAGCAAAAATTACACAATAAACAATATTAATCACAAGGATATAAATATGTATAGTGACTTACACATAAATCATCTTCAAGGCTATTAGGACCACTAGTTGCAACCGAAGGGGCAGCGGGAACTTCTTTGGAACATTGAACCTCGTAAGCTTCAAAAAGCTTATACAACTCATGCTTAACAACCTCCAACTTTGTTTGTGCAGTAGTTAAGTCATCAACCCTTTTGTAACAAAAATCCACAAACTGAAACTTGAAACGTGGGTCAAGAATAGTTGCAATAGCTAACACAACACTATAAGAATCCCAATATTTTACAAATTTTGGTTTCATTTGTTTTGCCATGCTACTAATAACTTCATCCTCATTTTTCATCTCTTCATTTAAACGCAATTGAATTTTCCACACATTTCGAAGGTACAAGTTTGCTGTGGGGTATTTAGAATCCGAAAAAAGAGTTGTAATATCATAAAATGGTTTCAAGAACTTGCATATCCTCTCCCCCCTGTCCCATTCTTCATCTGATGGACAATATTTATAATTGGGATCTATCAAAGACAGATGAACAAATACAAGACGATATACTAAAGCACTTTCAAGCATTAAAACGGTGGAATTCCATCTTGTGAGAACGTCCATTCGCAATCCTTTTAAACTTCTCACACCAATTTGTTTAGCAAGTTCTCCAAACTTGATTCTTTTACTCTCAGTTCCTTTAATATATTGCACACTTTGTCGGATCTTATGTAAAGTCACACTAGCAACTTTTAACCCTTCTTGAACAATAAGATTCAAGATATGTGCACAACATCGCACATGAAAAAAATCACCTCTACATAACAAAGCATTTTGCTCACAAAGTTGGCTCTTTAAAATATCTTCCATCTTATCATTATTATTTGCATTGTCCAAAGTAAGAGAGAAAATTTTCCTTTCAATTCTCCACTCTTTTAAAAAACCAAACAATTTTTCTGACAAAAGAACCCCTGAGTGTGGAGGAGGAATATTGCAAAAGTTGAGAATTTTTCTTTGTAACACCCAATTCTCATCTATGTAATGAGCCGTTAAAGATATATACTCCTCAGTCGTAAAAGAAGTCCATATATCAGAAGTTAAGCATATTCTACTAGTAGCCCTCCCTAAAAGAAACTCACTTTTTTCCTTCTCCCTTCTATATATTTTTAAGCAATCCGCCTTAGCAGTGTTCCTATTATAAAACTTAACTTCATGATTCAAATACATATAGACATCTCTAGTTCCTTCATGCTCCACTATTGAATATGGATAATTATGTTTAATAATTGCTATTGCCATCTTCTCACGATAAGTATCTTGACAAAACCCTTGATGATCTACATCATCATCGTTGCTTTCTATCACATTTATCGAATTCGTGGACTCCTCCATGTCAATGGTATTAAATTCTCAATAAATACCCTACATAAAGGAAAGACAAAAAAAAAAAAAAAAAAAATTAATTAATTAATTAAGAAGTATAGATGGGATGTAGATAACAAATGTATCCCTATTGCCAAGACTCCAAACTTAACAATGTACACCAAACAAAAACTTCTAAAAACCAAACATATATAGATTTTACAAACCAAACATAGTTGATTTGTTGAAATAATAATATTATTATTGATGCCCAAGCTCTTACGCCATTGTTTCTTTGAATATGTTTTGTTTATGAACTTTAAGGCTTCTATACACTTTGAAACATAGTTGGGATTTGGGAATTTTTGTTTATTTGACTGGTTCTAATATTCAGTTTGTTCATTTGATAACGAGGATGACTTAATTAAGAGCACGCATTTTGAAGAAATTATTTGACATATGAAAAACTTGTAAAGATTGTTATACAGATTATTCTTATTTCATACGATGTTTGAAGGGAAAAGAAAGGTCTCAATGAAAATTTAAGGGATAAAAATGAAAATTACATTCAAAATGATATCGCTGAAATATGCATCATGTGATAACTTATATTATTGGGGAATTACATGAAGAGCACTCTGACAGTTCAAAGAAAATAAGTAAATAAACAGCCTTCTAAAATTTACACTGATGCTTTAGTTGAACTCTTATAAATGGGTTGTACATCAAATTGTTTGAGTGTCTTTCAGGATAGTCCTAGTAAACTGTCCTTGTTTTCATTCACTGATTATTTTCTTCATTTATTTCTAACGAATCCATCATGACAAATTGTAATATTTGTGATAAAGTCTCTTCCAAAATTCATCAAATAGCCTTCCCTAAAATTTCATAAATTTGTCAAAACCATTCCGTACAAACATTCACCAACAAAAAATTTGAACTAATGCAATCTTTGTATTCTAACCAAATAGTAGAAGACGTCAACTAATTATTGTAACTTGTAGGGCATTTCATTAAACCAAAACACAAAATCTTATGAGTTAACTTTCTAACAAGAACAATAGGATAAATAAAAACCCCTCAAACTTCGTATGAAATAAGAACAATATGTAAAACAATATTACCGGAAAATCAATTTTGAAACTACCTGGACTTGAGAGGATGACCGGCGGCTGACAAGGATCGGAGTTCAGAGGATGATTGGCGATCAGTGACGGTGAGAGAGATGAGATAGCGGGCAGACGGCGGGGTTAATACGATATGACTTATGAGAAATGAGGTTTGTAAAAGTTTCTATTAGAAATAGTTTAAAACCCTTATCCCTAGTTTTAAAATTTTTTGGCGGGTACCCGCGGGTACGGGTAACCCGCGGGTACACAACCCGTTTTGTCTGATCTAGCTAACAGGATTGGAAACGTTGTTGGCATCAAACGTTAATGTGAATGATACGTTTTTTTGTGCCTCAGTTATATTCTGCAGTGCAAGTAGATTCAATCAATGATCATCAAAGATGGACTAACCGGTTTAAGGAACAATTTGTTCAAAATATTTTAGAAATTTTCTTGACTCCCTCTCATCTTTGGCTTAATATCGAGGGAGGACCCCTTCCAGTTTTGAATTTTTTGTCACTTTCCTTTGATCTGTTGGGAGTTTGCAGATAATTTTTGCTATTAATGGTAACTCGGAAAGGTTCCAAATTTCTATCGAATCAATGCTAAATTTAACATATAATTTTGCGATGACGAGAGAGGTCACTGATCTTTGAAAAGAACAAGTCTGGGTTTTTGTTCTTAAAGTGAGGTGAGGTTAACAAAATTTGCTCGTAACCATCTTTAGGTAGTCCAGCGGTTAACTAAGACTCTTGGATGTATTATTCAAGAAATCTTAAGTTCGATCCACATGGGTTGCTAATAAGAATAGCCACTGTAAAGATTTATCCGATTATGATTAGTTTAAATACGTGCAAGCTGGCCCGCACACACCCCCGATTAAAAAAAACAAAAAAAATTGCCCATATCAATGGCCCTAAAGCAACTTTGGCCTGCATCAGGAACATTGTCTTTGAGCAAGAAGAAAGTTAATAAATACATACATTTGAGGAAACAACAGTGAACGGTTTTTTGTTATATTAATTCTTACTGTAATGGTCTCCAAAAGGTAGAATAACATATAATAAACAGTGGAAATATTTAAAACAAGGATTAACAACTACGTATTCTTTTTCTTTTTTGTGGGTAAGCTAGCTTTGCCAGGCTGAAACTTAAACTTGATCAGTTGATGGGGTTGAAAGTGAGAGAGTGAGATTAATAATACCATGCCCTTGTTGAGACTCTTTAATGGATGATGAAACCATTCCATTCTTTGAATCCATACCATTGTAACAATTACAATAGTCTTCTTCATCTGACTCGATGCTGATTAAGTTTGGAATTTTTGACATAAATTTCTGCTGTTGCTGCTGTAAATGGTTAACTTTTCGATAAATGGTTCCATCCTCCTCAACATGCCAACCACCCTCCTCACAAAGAGCCTTGAGCAAGTCATTGCTATCAGCATGCTTTGGAAGCTTGTAGTTTCCATGCTCCTTCAGCCCAGCAAATATTTTCTTCGTTATTTCTCGCCTTTTGTGCTCCCTTTGTTTGTTGTGTTGCCGCTCCTTTTCACTTGGAAACCTATATGTGGTCACCATACCACCATCTTTTGTTTTTTTATGCACCAGCCATGGTCCCTTAGTGGCTTTTATACACCCTTTCAACACACCTTTCTTTTTCTCATCCACCATTTTTTGTTTCTTCTTCTGTTCTCTTCCTGAGGAAACCAAAAGAAAGACCAAATGAAAATAGCTTTCAGGTATTATCTATTATCATTTATATAGCATCTTCGTGTCCAAACTATAAAAGTATATCAGCTTTAAACATTTACTATTCTTGGGATTTTTGGAACATTGTTGTCTCTTGGTGATTTACAGTATGTGACCATATTATCCCAGTCCTTGCTGTTATGTAGCATAAAGTTTATACCCTTTTCAAGGGTAATTTTGATATTTGATTATCATCATTTTTGTGACTGCACCAGGCTCTGTGATCTAACCGTACAAGTAGCTGCAGGAAGATCAGAGGGGCCTGAGATTCGCAAGGCAAAGGAAGTGCAATCTTTTGACAGAAATTTCGATACTATGTTACTGGAGAAGTAGACATTGCTTAAAGTAATTAAAGCTACATTTTCTGTTTCTGAATACTAAAAAAGGTTTAGGATAAAGGAGAAATGAACGGTCTGATCTGACCCAGTCGAAGGTAGACTTCACAGTCTATGATTTGTACTTGAGTAGATACTCAGTTTGGAATATTTTCTGAAAAGGAATAGATATATGATCAATCTCTGTAACTTAAGTACTAAAAAAAATGAGACGACCACTGAATATTATGAAAATACAACTGGAAACTTATCCAGCATATGCTATACAAATATTATAAATGTTTAATATTACAGAAGACCTAACCTTCGTTAATCAGACATTACAAAACTCCAGATTCACCGGTACAGATTTGATCTCGCTCTGTAATTGACCCAACTTCTATCCATTAAGAATAAAAACCATATTGCCTAATTGACTATACATTTTACAGAGGCGATATTAATGCGGTAACAGTGTTTGAGTTGCTGACTGAGGCCCAGTAAAAATTGTCTTTGTGATTTGGGAATTAAAGTGGTGTAAGCCAAACCAAAAAAATGATGTGCTGGTTCTAACCTGAAGATGAATTTTTTTGACTTTCTATCCTGCATGCATGAATGCATTGTCTATCAATTCCTCCCAGAAAATTTTAGCGCTCAGAGGATGTTTATGGAGAAAAGACCTGCAAAGGGAATGTCTTGATTATGGAGTTCACGTGAGAGCTGGTATATCAACCAGAAACTCGTTTCATACCGACAGATAGTTTGAAATGGCTTGAGCAATTTCAAGGGATAAGGATGCAACATCCATCGAGATGCGGAGGCGCCATGTTCTATCATTTCTTTTGATACAAAACCTGCTCACAAGAAGAATAATTCTTACAAATTATGCAAGCTGGTAAGTTCAAACACTTTAGGAATCTTTTTACTTGAATAATATAATCAATATAAGGAGTTTGAGGAACTTCTGAGGTCTAAAATTCAAGTTGTAATGGGATCTGTATATTAGAGGCTTACTTGTCAATTTAAAGCAGCCGACTTCACCGCCTAGTCTTTGCAATCACCAATTATGAATATAACTTTCTCCTTAAGCTTGTCAATGATCTGAAAGTGAAACAAGTAGCAAGGTTAATAAAATAGCAAGACACCTAAAAGAGTAAACATGCTATCAACATTAATAAAATAATAATGCACACCAGGCTAGAGTTCTTTGCCCATCGTTGAACAGAAGCAGCAGCAGTTTTAAGGTGGGAACAGCATGGGAGATCAAAATTTAAAAAATAGGTTGAATTTTCTGTTGCTTCAGCCACCCAAAGATGATTTGTGTGGTCTTTTGGTCTCTTGATAAGATTACAGAAGCCAACCTGCAATGAATATCATTTGGTCAATTCAGCCATTATCCTTGTGTTCAGAAAGAAGCATTTCATTCACCAAAATCCCATGATATCAGATAATGCATGTCTCAAATGGCAATTAAGAGCCATGAACTATAACAAGTGTCAATTGGCAATTATTTACCCTGCATTATCCTAGTTTATTAGCTTTCAAGAATGAAACACAGAACACTCACAGTGGATCCAACAAGGTTATAGTTTATTGGCAAAAATGAATCATCTTCTATGTATGCTGAGCTGAAATTGATGGCTAATAAGGATTTTGGTAATTCTTCCAACTGTAACTCTGGAATGGAGTCATCTGTCACAAACACCCACTGTTTCCTTTGGTGAGAATCCTTATAAACCTCTCCCACATGCACAATAAAGGCCGCCGTATCAAATTCACTGAATAAGCCAAAAAACAAACATTAATATGTACACAATTTCTCAGAGAAGAAATAAGCATAAATCTGTTGAGGTATAACAAATTCACCTAGAAAGTGGAACATCGCCCAAATCTGACAATGGAATTGATCTGCGAGGACTGAAAAATGGCCTACACACACAAGTATGAGCTGGATTTAGATTAATGAAGAGTAAAAACCAAAAACAGACTTCCTTTTTTTTCCCTCTGACAAGGAAAATATAAATGGAAACCTACTTATAGTGTGCAAGAGCTGGGGGAGATAGTGGCTGCCATTTTGTAGTAGATCCTCTTGCTTGTAAGTAAAGGTTATTGGAATCAGAGTACATTGGTACAAGCCCTGTAATAGCATATGCCTTCCCCTCAACCAGCTCACATTGCTGTTATCAGTATAAAGAAAATTTTAGAATGAAGCTGACAGAATATAAATAGATTCCAAGAACAAAGGAAGATATATCAGTATTTAGCTAGAAAGGCATGGAAACACACAAGGCACACTGTAAGTCCAATGCCTCAAAGACACACATACACAGAAGCAAGAAGAGAGAGCAAAATGAATAACATTAAATCCAAAGAAGGGTTCAAAACAGAACAACAAAAGCACCTGCTTCTCTGTGGGGTTCCAGATTGTTATAATGCCTTCTCTGGAGCTAAACTTTCCTTGATAGTCTTTACTAGTCAATCCAACCACCCTCACCCTCATAAATGGGTTGACATCTCTCTCTCTCAGGCCAGCATCTATCAAAGCTTTCTCAATGGATTTTTCCATGTTTGATTGCTTGGATGCCTAAGGTCAATTTAGAAGTCTTAAGAATGACATTCTACATTTAAACTTATATTTAAGCAAAGAATCTAAAACCCACCTCTAATTTTGCTTGATAAGTGGAAAAAGAAGTTAGTTGCTCCGGACTCATTTCTGCCATTATAACTTCTGGTTCAGCTGCTGTCTCAAGTATTTTCAAAATTTTTGCTCCTTCTTCACTATCACTATCATTAAATATATGAGAATGACTTTCCTCTCTTTGAAACTCAGATATGAAGCCTTCTACAAGGACAGAGCGCCTGTAGCCAAAAAGAGAAAAAAGAAAGTAATGACGGAATCGTGCAGAAATAATATCAAATCTGACAGCATCATCCAAACTACTTTTATGGCCTTCAACTTTCCATAACAGACCATGGTGCAGATTTAGTTATTATGCAAACACAGCCTCATAATTTTCTAGGAGTAATACTACACATTTTAATTAAAATCCAAAAGTTCCCGACTCATGATGTCATCCTAAGTGGGAGAAAGAGTTTATTTATTTCATTAGTCCAAAAAGGCTTAATTTGATTACAAATCACACAGAGAGCATCACCAATCTCTTCAAGAGGCTACAAACCAGTATATGCACACTCCTTAAGAGGGTGCAGATAATATGTGCGAAAAGTTAAACAAGTCACCTGTGCTGGTGCATGTGCATTGTCTTAGTCTCCATCCTTTCTGATCTCACAATAGATCCCCCGTCACTTAACCTAAATGAGAGTAACAAGGATAATTTTTGTCAACTGCATACATAATATAAATTAAATAGGAGTCATTCTTTCTTTGTTTTTTATTGAATTCTCTTAGTTCTGCCAAGGTTTATAAAAATACTAAATAAATGAGGCAATAACTATAAGACAGGATCAGCTTCAGATGACCTCTCCTTGTAGAGAACAGGATATATCCGTGTGACCCCAACTAAAGTTCTAGGAACTGGACCTCCATTACTCTTGATGCACCTAAAAGCCAATGGAGCACCAACGCCCTTACCTATATGAAGACAAAGCATCATGGTTGTGTAGAAACTTTAACAAAGAAGATAGAATACCAAATAAGCTACATTCTCTAAAACTATGAGTAAAAAACAAATAATCTAAGAGTGCTTACAAAATCCCAATCGATCAGCCCAGTGAGCTCTATATGTCCCATTTATGTTCAAAAGTAAACTAACTGATCCTGAACCCTGAAATTTAAGCAAAAAATGATTTAAAAATAAAATAAAAAACCTATGATGACTAAGTAAAATATTCCAACATGTTAAATTCACTGAAAACTGAAGTCTGTAAGTACCTCAAGCGGTGAAACCGGCCCAACCCAGCCACATAATCCTGCTCCCCAGATCTTCATGAGACAAATCTAACTGTAAGCAAGAGGTATTCTGTCCAAAATGTTCTAATCAAAGAACATAAACAAAAAACTCAGAAACCAGCATTTTACCCTAAGTTTCTGTCCCACAAACAGTTTCCCAGCGGCAAGGTGCTTTGACAGCAATACATCCAAAAGAGCATTCATAGAATACCTGAGAACCAATATGTACTTCAAGCCAAGAAAATTTTTGAGTGGGAGTAAGAATTAATAATTTAAATTTCCTACCACCCATCAGTTAGTTCCACTTTAGAAGAATAACTACTTTCACCCCCATCTGATGCTACCAGAGGAGTCTCAATCTTCGGTTCATGATTTGAGTGAATAGCTGAAATGCAAAGTACCATCATCGAAGAGGGCATTGCATCCCCTTCCAGAATTCTTTTGATTGCGGATCGATGGCCATTATTTACTTCTCTCTCATACCTGTCCAAATTGATCCCAACATGTTCTCAGAAACATCTTACAAATCAAAGGGTAACATAAGTAAAACAATTACCTATATTTCAATTCCTCGAGCACATTGGAAATTGTCAAAAACTTTCCAGCAGATTTGGCTGAATAACATCTTTCATAACACACCAATTTCCAGACTATCCATTTGTAGTGATTTGTGACCCATCTAGACAGATAATTAATGGAACGGGTTAATAAATTGCCAAAACAGCAGTCAAATAATGCAAAAATAATCCGTAGATATTAGAGTACCAATAAACATATTAATAGATGCCCATTAACCAGAACTGAAAATTGTATTTGTACAGTGCATATGCAATCCAGAACAACGAAGTCAACCATAGATACAATGCTAATGCTTCACACAATCATTTCATATTTCTAGGCCAATCACAGATGGTTAATTTAGTGTCCTGCCTGTCTCTCGACCAGTTCAAATATGCCAACTTATCACAAGTTTTAAATAACAATTATTGTTGCTTAGCAACATGCACCCATATATCATGTATGTACTGCATATTGAGAAGCAACGTTACTCCAAGAATCAATCATATTTTTTTTGGAGGGGCTGATAAGAAACCGAGTAGAAGATCTAGAAAATTTACTGTTTAGAAGCATATTGTGCGGAGGCCCCAGATTTTGCTAACATGTTAAGAAAAGCCTCTGTCCCAGTGCAATTTAAGCCAGATTCATCTTGAAATATGTACTTATCTGCATTAACTGATTTGATCCATCTTACTTGGTCTTGCAAATGCCCCAACTAAATTCATTCAGGCAACAAAAAGGTGTTAGTCTCAGAGGAAAGCCAATTTCTACGGGACAAATGACAGTAGTTGTGTACCATGCCCTGGACTGATGGAGGCATTCCAAAATAGTCCTTGACATAAATTCTTCGAATTTGAAATGGATATCTAGAGGAAACCGTTCTTCTGCTACTGGAATTTTCCAATGATGAGGTAGATAAACCTGATTGTAATAACCTTAATGAGAAGCACAAACTAGGAGAACTAACAAAAGCAAAGTTAATTCAAAACCATCTGTGAATTTACCATTAGCAAAAGAAACATTTTTATTTAAAGGGGTGGAGAATTTGGAACTGCGAGGCCTCTTAAATGGAGAAACAGAACTCCTCCACTGTCTCCTCTTTTCAGATGTATTTTGTTTAATACTGCCATGAGCTGCACCAATCCTATTTGTAATATCAGCCAGTGGCTTACCGAAAGACCTTCCCAGTGAATTACTTCTTGAACCATTACTATCTTCCAAAGGATTAACCATTTTGGTATCAGGTGCAGAAGGTATGTTGCTTAAGGTTTTATCCCTGGGAGGCAGTTTACCATTCGACCCACTGACTCTGTCATGGTCAACTGCATCAAATTTCTTGATCAAGTTACCGGAAACATGTATATTTTCTAAATTCGCCCGTGACATTGCTTGGTTTGAAAATGAACGCAAAGGAGAGGTGAAACTTTTTGATAAAGTTTTATTCTTTGCTGTTCCTTGATGGGAAACAGAAGTGAAAACATCAGTTTCCTTGTTTGATGTAGAATTATCACATCTTGCCTCTTTAATTAATGAAAGATCCGATTCACCTGCATTCCCTTCATCAAAGAGTGTCCCCAACTCTGGATCACCAAGGAGACTCCTTGCATACTGCAATGCATCACTGGAAACGGATAATGATCTCCCACCAGCAGTATGGAACTTGATAGGAGGCGGTTTGGGAGCTGAATTTAGCGACTCAGATTGCATCATATCTGAACTTATCTCATTTTTTAATATATTTCCAGATAAACCAGAGTTACAAATTGACGAAGGCCTGGGAACTGCTGTAACATTCATCATCCGATTAACTTCCAAACCTTCTTTCACCTGGAAATTTGACACACTTTGCCTCCCACAAGGGCTAATAGGAGTAGATGGAGTCCTCGTATGTTGAAGGTCTTGAAAGTTGCAATGATCATTATCTTCTTCCAATCCCAACAATGTCTTAGCTCTAACCAAACCAGCAGAAGATATGTTAACAAATTTCCCAGAACCTGTCTGGAAAAGAGAATTGGAAAAGCCACATTCATTTCCAGCGTGACGACCTTCGCCTACACATTAAAATTTATAGAAGGAAAAAGGAAATAATAAGATTGTGTTTCCAGTATAGTATAATCACAAGCAAAGTCACAAGGACCAACTTATTATCTTGCATCACTTACACCCCAAGGGATTACTTCATATGACAATAACAAACTATAACAATTTTACCTTCCCTTTCTGAACTTCCCATGAAATAGATAGATAATACACAATATGAAAACGAAACCTTTTTGCCATATACTCCTCAATGTTAGAACTTAGAACCAAAAAATAAGGAATGGATCCAAGTCAAAATTTCCCTTAAATTAAATATCATCAACAATCTGTTATGTTTGAAATAATAAGGATTAAAAACTACACACCAGTAACCGAAATATTACCATCCTCGTTGTTGCCAAGAACAGACAACGCTTTGGCAATCGAGGACTGTTTCAACTTCACTGGTCTCCCCAATCCAGTTTTAAACATCGGAGTAGTTTCAGCAGCTTCATTCTCGTTCTCCAGAATCTTCGAGTGTCCTGTACAAGTTCATAGTTACATAATTACCTGAACCAAGTAACCTATAATTATTCATAATTCATACACGTACTCATAACCGAAATTACCGTGGAGCAATACATCGGCCATGGAAGGAAGATGAGAATCGGAGTTGTGCGGCTCAATCGAGGCACCGTTCGGTTCGTCTTTGGTTCGGAGTATCTGGCCGGATACCTCCCATCGAAAATTGTTATCAGTGTCGGAGAATATCTGCCACGTCGACATTTTCCGGAAAGATTTAGGGTTTCGGTTTCCAGCTTGAATTATGCTAAAAATTAAGATTAAATTTTATTTTTTCCTTACTCTTTTTCTAATTTTCAAGAAGGCGGGAAAGTTAAAAGGAGATGGAGGGGAAATACATATAGAACATAATTTAATGGGCCGGGCCGGGCCGGTCGTTATGGGCCCAATTTGTGAACCATTTTACGGTTCAATTGTCTGGTTTATGGCCCATGCTTGTTACGAGCCCAACTTTTTATACATTTTTTTTTTTTCTTAATATTACGAGTAATTATATTTGACTAAACTAATAAAAAAAGTTGAGGACTAAATCCACTTTCTAAATTGCTTATAAACCAACCACACTTCCTTGTTGATTAATTGACTGGGCACCAGTCGTCACTATCAGAGACCTTAAATTCGGATTTTGGTATTCTGATTTCTGACTCTCGGATCCATATCAATAAATGTTGTTAGGCTAAAAAACAACATCAACGTAACCAATATTAATAAGGGATTATGATATATATAAAACAATAGAAATAACCAATAGGTAACTGATACGAAACTAGATTATAAACTGGTCGATATAATTATTTAATTTCACTAAAGACATAAAATTTTAAGTCAAAAGTCCTCCATGTTTCTCTATAGCTTGTCCTTGAGACTCCGTTGTTTGCATTACATTATTGAGATTGGAGACTCCGCTTAGTTTATATATTTCGGCTTTTCTTACATCGAGAATAATGTTCTGTTCATGAACAAACCCTTTGCTAATAACAAAAAAAATTGACCATCTCAATAGGCGATGGTAATATATATAATTTTTAATAATTGAGAAATTAGTTAATCACAATTTCCCACCAAGGTTTGGCGTATAAACACTTTTCCACCCAAAAAGTTTTAAAACGGTACTTTCCCACCGACCCACCCACGGCTAACTTTAAATGAAGAAAGATATCATGCTAAATTAAAAAACAATGAAAGGGTAATTTTGTCATTTTACTCTGTATGTATAAACTTAGAAAAACTAAAATACTAAATCAAACCCTTTTACCTTTCTTCCCTACCCCTCAACACCAAAATCCTCTACCCTTTGGTCGATGCGATTCGACTAGAATCGCACCCGATCATATGCAATTCTGGCCAAATCACACTAAATTCTCTACTCCCAATTGTATCAAACCTAGTGCAATTGGCATGTTTGCTTGTGCGAATAATTGCACCTCCCTGACGAAATCAATCGAGTATATACCTATTATCCACTAGCAGAAAGGATCAAGATCTTGAGATTAAGTGTGTCATCAAGCGTGCAACTTGCTACTACTATCACCTACTCGATGGTTTGGTCGTTTTAATGATTTGATCGCACGAGTATTCAACATACCCAACCAAATACTATTCAACGGTTAAGATTATGACTTGATCGTTTTTACGATCCGATGTTACTAGTTGACCAAATAATATTTGGGTCAACAATTGTGGCCCTATCCGAATTTTGCGTTGGGTGCATTACTGATATAAGGACAAGATAACGATCAAAGAAAATTACATAATGAAGGATATGTATTGGGTGCGTGGGCCACTTGGGGTATGATTATCACATTTACGCTGGAACGTGGAATCTCAGGATTATTAGGTTGGAGTTTTTGGCTTTTGGTATGTTTGGTTAAGTTCATATGTCTAGTTCAGGAGGGAATTGGCTATCCTTATATGGAAATTTTTTGAATATATTATTACGTCCACCATATTTTAGCTCAATCAAATTTTTGAAAATGACACAAAAAATCGGTGGTGGGTGGCATTTTTACACTGAATGGACCTATAATATGATTGATTATTATATTGTGTTTAAGAGGCGCGAAGCAGCTGTAAAATCTGTACTTACTATTATTATTTGTTTATTCGGTTCTATTGGGAATTTGGGAGGAGTTGCAAAACGGTACAACTGGAGTGCTTAGATCTTAACGGTTAATCCGTGGCCCCCATGTGGCGCATGGAGAACCGCATTTCTCACTAAAGATTGACCCTGCCGCCTCGGTAGGGGACTACGGTTGCACCTAAACCAGATATTCACCAATTTCTTATTAATTTATTTTAATCTTTTAAACCCATTCGGTAAAAATAAAAATTCATTAACTTCAATGTGAGAGACATATTAAACGTGTTTCCTTTTTTTTGTTGGGTGGAAGCCTCGAATCTCCTCATTCCCGAAGGTATGAGATGAATCCCAATCGAGTTTGGGTAAATACTTCTGGCTAGTGGCTTGTTGGGTGGAAGCCTCGAATCTCCTCATTCCAGAAGGTATGAGATGAATCCCAATCTAGTTTGGATAAATACTTCTGGCTAGTGGCTACAAGGTGCTTCTAGTGCAGCTCGATATGCTACAAATATATGTAATTAAAGTGAATTGGGGATGGCGTAGATAAATATACGGTTTCAAGTTCGATTCCCTATTTAAACATTAACGATTTAAGTGAGACATTGTGATAGTAGATTATTGCACTAGTCTCCTCCGAAGATTAATCGAGATACACATAAATGATTCGGACACTTTGATTAAAAAAAATGTATTTTATTTATTATTAATCTAAATAAAAATGCAAAAACTATAAATATTATAAGATAGTAAACTAACAAAGATACGAAACATTTTTGGCAAATGTCAATTAGAAAGGTACAAAGCAACATTGTATTGGGTTAACTACCACCAAGGGCGTTCAAGAGCGATTAAAGAGCTTTCTTAAACTGAATCGGGTTTTCAATTCAGGAAGTGGTAGGCGTTCAAAAGCAGTTAACTAGCTTTCTTGAACCAAACCGATTTTTCGGTTCAGGAAAATTCCTGGACCGAAACCGAATCGATTTAAGGGGAAAACCGGTTTTAAATCGGTTTTCCTCTTTTTATTGGATAAAACATAATTTTTTTTGAAATTTTTCCTAAATTAAGTTGTAAACATCAACAATACATATCCAAATAAAAATTAAACATCCATACATATATAATATATATTATTTAGTGAATTTAGGGATTAAGATTATTAATTTTTTTATTTAATATATAATATATATGTATTTTTTTTTAGTAAACCAATTTTCATTTTTACCTGAACCAAAAATCGAACAAAAAATCCGATTTTTCCATCTAGGTACCCAAAACCAAAACCTGTAACAAAGGCTCCGGTTTCGGTTCTGGGTACCCTGTAAAATTTTATGACCACTCAAAAGTTTTAAAAATGGCAAAAAAACCCTTAAAAACTTACAAATACCCCCCCACTTGGCACTTGTTAACAAAAATAAAATTACAAATTATAAATTCAAAATTACAAACTTCATTACTTGTAAAGTAGATTCTCAAAACTCAAACCAACTTACTTTAAATGTTATGAAATATAAATATAATGTATTCACATCTTTTTTTATAAAAGTTTATTAACCCCCCTAATCTTTAATTTTATTTTATATAGTTCGGTTCCTGATTCCTGGTTTCGGTTCTAGTTCCTAACCATAGAACCAAAAATGGATGCGCACAGTAACGGTTCCAAAAATTTGGAACTGGAACATATCGTTGACGATGGTTCTGGGTAAGAACCGGAACCAAACTCAGGGTACCCGTCGGTTTCTGGTTCCAACCGTTCCTTTGAACACCCCTAATAATAATGAACCGTTTTTCGGTTCGATTTTGTATTTTTTTTACATCCTTAACTACACATATGACTGATTGTAAAAGAGCAAATGAGTCAATATAGATTCCTAAGTTTGAGTCCCCTCAGTCACTAATAAAGGTGGTCATTGAGGGAATTTACCCTATCGTTCACTTCAGTGTCTCGAGGGCTTAGTTGAGGTGCATGCAAGCTGGCATAGAACCCCTCAATACAAAAAAAAAAAATATTGTATTGAGTAATCTAATGGTCAACTAAGATTATTGAGTGTATTATTTAAGAGTTATTAAGTTTAATCTATCTGAGTTAAATAGCTACTGAGGAGATTCACTCCACTGTTAATTTTAAGACTTCAAGACATTAGTTGTAGTGTCCGCAGTATGACCGAGACAACCCCAGTTTAAAAAAATAAAAAGCATTGTGTCGTGCTAGGCCGCTAGGCCACAATTAGTGCATATGTAGTATCTTACCAGAAAACGACACCGGATAAAAAAGATTGGGAATTAGAATGGATAAGCAAAGAAACTACCATACACGACAAGGGGAAACAAATAATCGACTCTACTAGATACATGAACGATCTATAATTATTTTTCTGTCCCATTACGGCATAAAAATAAAACTATTGCGATTTTGTCGGTAAAATATTATTATTAAATTTACTATTATTTGATAACATGGTGTAAATTCTTAGTCAAAATGTTTTGTTGAACTAATTGAATGTTTTTCACCGTGGAAAAATCTATGGCCAGCCTGTTACTGAAACGTCTGGGGCACAGAACGGTTTTGAGCCGTCCGATGTTAACTAAAATTGGATCAAGTAGGAAGCACCGCCAACAGCTAGCTAATTGACCATGATTCACGATGAGTGCAAAGTCCTGCAAGTGCAGCGATCAATTATGTATCACGTGGCTCGGGTCTAGTCAAAATAAATTTTATTTATTTTTTAACTATTTTTTATTTAATTAATTTCGATATTAAAGACAAACTGGGGACCCAGGGAAAAAAATAATCATGGCCCTTAACTGGGACGTACAGGCACTAATAAAAGTTTGGGAAGAGGAGAACAATGAAAGTAAAGAGTGAGAAAGTTGCAATTTCCAAGGCGTCCCTCCGAGTCAGTGGAGAGTTTTATTTTAGGTTTAAGAGACGATGGTGAGTTTGACGGAATTTAGGATTTTTCCACAAATGGCACTACATATCCACCCTTACTTTTGTATTTTTTTACTTCTTTACCATCCAAATAGTAACGAGTTATTATTTTTAAGGTAATGCCAGGCCAATAAATTTTTTCACAACTTTTTTTTACAATTCACCGTATGTTAGTTTCTTATTTACCAATTATAATGATTTCATTTAATAAAATTACAATTAACAAAT